AAGTTAACATACCTGTTTGACGAATATTTTTTGACTTTGCATCATCTTCAGTGTCATAATTTCCAAACAAAAACGTTTGTAACATTGATTTATTTTTTTTCATTTGGCGCCTTCAAAAAAATACAAATTATTGTAATCGTTAACGTTTTTATTAAGTTTTCAACTTATTACACATACTTAATTTCATAAATTTAATATACCTGTTAAGGTGTTGTTTTGGTAAATTTGGTACAGCATCAGGATTACCTACTAAACCACCTTGATCGGCCATTAAATAGGCTAAATGCCTACGTCTGTGAGTTTCAACCAAAACGTCTGTTAATGATCCACTGACTTCTAAAGATGTCTAAGAAAGGATGACAACTTACGGTTACGGCAATTTTTATTAGTGTATTACCTATGTAAGAAAGTTTAATAGAAATTACAAAGTAACAACTTACATTAAACAACTGATCTACATCATCGATATCTCCTGGTATGTCCGAGAGGGCATTAAATATTTGTGCAGAATTTCCCAGTTGCGTTAATTCAAGTTCTTAAAAAATGTTACATATTGTATTGCATACAAAATATATTATTATAATGAATATATTTTTGAATGATAATGTATACCTTTAATTTTTAACATTCCAAGTGTAACTTGAAACAAAACTATAGATCCATCAAAGAGAAACATATCCCAAATGCGCAGTAATATTTTCATATGTACAACAGATGCAAATAAGGTAAGGAACCAATGTAAACATATTAAACTTAATTCTATATCATGTTGTAGCAAAACATGGTCTATTTCAGGAAGAAAATTAGACACTAATGTACGAAGTACTTTCTGATCAGCTTGAACACCTGTTAAATATTTTTAACATTAAAACTAATTTTCATTCTTTACCACATATTAATAGTATATTACCTAATAATGTTGAAGAATAATAAGATGCTGGCAATAAATCTTCTACTATTGTAGCCATCATCCAAAAAGCATCTTCTTCTTCTAATAGTAATAAAAGAGATGCTGCTATTGTCCCTGTGCCTTGGCAGTACCTTTAAAGAACAAATGGATAATAACACAATAACGAAACAGAAATATTGGAATATTAATTCATAAAAGTATCATTACCCAATATCAGGATATAACCATGCGAGGGCGCGCATAACTCGTCTTAAACGTGGTATTCCTGTACTATGAAGATGGCTAAAACATGCATTTGCAGGCATAATACGAAGTAAGTCCTTTTCAATTTGTTTGTTTGTCATTAATGCATCATTACTTGATGCTTTTACTATATCTTTGTACATTATTTCAGAAGAACATTTTTTTTGAAGTGCTCCTGTAATTTTGAAAAATATTATTGTTTGAACCTTTATATTATAGAATATGTTAGACCTATAATATTAAAAGATTATAATGACATTTATATTATACCTGACATTCTCATCCAAATTTGTGGTCTAAGGGAATGCGGTACACCATGATGAACCATATCCCTTAATTTATCTGTGCGGGGCAGTCTTCTGTCTATATTTTGCCAAGAAAGTTCTGCTACTTCTTTATTATGACTAAATTCTAACAGAGCAACCCATTGTAATCTAAGTATATGAAATTTTCCAAATTAATTTTATTCTTTTCACAATGATATTTATTTATTCATTACTTTTATATAACTTTTTCTGTACCTATGCTGAGGATCTTCAACAAATGGGATACCTAATAATTTTTTTGAACTCTGTTCTGGGCCATCTTCTTCTTCTACACGAAAACCAAATTCATCAAACCTAATGTATTATAATATATCAAATTAATTTTATAAATATTATTATACCATATATGTAAGATAATATTCTAGAAAAAAGAATCTGTAATAAATACCTATATTCAGGTTGTGAATTAGGATCATCAGGTTGATTTAATTTAGCTAGAATATCTTGTGGCCACATAGATGGTGTCAAAGCAGAAAATGGACCTCCTGGTGCAGGAGATAAAATTTCTCCACATAATCCTGTAACTTCTACTTCAAATTCATCTTCAGAGGCAGCAGTTTCCAATTTTTTCTAAAAAGAAAAATTATTTAATAATTTGATATTAATAATATGCTACCAGATGTGTACAAATTTTTATTAAGTTTACACAAGTTAAATAGCATTATACAAAAAACTTTTATCCTCAGAAATACATCAACTTCAATATTTTTTATTTATCAATGAAACAATTAACAATTTATTAAAATTACGTAGTAAAATAGTTACATTATACTCTTCTTTTCCAACATAACCTTCATGGTCACGAACATTAAATAATGATTTAGCAATATCCATTTTATGTAACTTTTAAATATTTATTATTAACTATTTTTAATACACTTCGTTTTCTTATTATGTTACACTATTTTATTATGTTGTTCATTATTATGCTTCTCATGTCTAAAAGATATTAATCTATGCACAGCGTTGACAGTATTGACAGTTTTATATTTACTTCGCCATTTGACGATGCTAGTGATAATTAAACCAATCACAAAGCAATACAAATATTTAAATCAACACAATGTATTGGATACGAAATTTTTCCAGTACTGTGTTTAAAATAATTTTTGTGCAAAACTTATTTCTTAATTAATTAAT